CGTCCGCGTTGACCAGGGCGAACAACGTCTTGACAGCGCCGATCGCATCGGAGCCATTGTCGCTGGTGACAGCGAACAGCTTGGTCGAGACATTGTGCCCGAGGCTTTTGGAGGTGCTCAAACAGAGCGGCCCCAATGCGCTTGCCGACAACCCTTCCGGACTGCACATCGAGGATCGTCAGCAGCATGGATTTCGACGCACCAGATTTGGCGTCGATGCAGTGCACCGTGACCATCCAAAATCCTTTCAGGGTGCGGTTCGACCACCCGTCGTTGGTGAGCGAGATGGCGACGTCCAGGTTGGAGAAGAACGCCCCGACGATGGGCGGCAGCATGATGGCGTGAAGCTCGACAATCCTGCGAATGACGGTGCGGGTCGACGGGCCCTCGTATCCCTGCGTCAACGTGTTGACCAAGGTCTTGAACTTGTCGCTGACAGGCGGCTCGCAAAGAGATTGCACCTTGGATAACAAAATCGACCACAGCGTTCTCAAATTTTACCAGGAGGCGATCTGGGATTGCTGGATCGCCTGCCTGGGGCGAGCACGTTGTGCTTCTTGAGGTGGGCTTTCCACCCCGACGCGTTCGCGTCGGAGGAAAACCACTTGCAGCAGTGCACGCACTGCCACTTTCCTTGCAGCACACGGGGATCACCCTCCATCCTATCGTGCGTGTGCTCCCACGGGAACGCATGCCGCTGCCTCTTTCGATTGCTGTTCGCAGCGACACCGGAAATGCCGTTGCTGGCATCCTGGATCTCATCCTCTACCTCAAGAACGTGGTCCGTCTCCATCTGGTCCGACATCAATGATTCCAATGTCAAATGGAGGCCACGGACTGCGCCATGGAGCTATTAGCGAGCGGTAAACAGGGTATTTACCAGATAATACTTCGCGCTACCTTTACCCTACCCTTGACCTTACCCTTTGGCATGGTCGACAATTACCTTACCTTGCTGAGGCCTAGCTCTATAGCTCTTTTTCAGAAGCGACCTGGCCACAAATGATAGCTCAACGAAGTGGCTTATCTTGTCACGTGGAAATGTATGGCAGCCAAATACTCTTAAAAGCATGACGTTGATTCTAAATGTTTAGGGGAAAACCCGGAGGCTCCGCAGAAATATCCACGCGACCACTGGGAGAGAGACACCGCAAACTCCAAATATACAGCAGGTATCAGGGTTGGCATAGAACCCACGACCTCCTGCATACCAAGCGAGGTAGTCAACAACACCAATTCACCTGCACGCCCCCCATTGTCTGGAACTCCCTTCCCACAGACATCCGTGCTGCCGACTCCCTGTCCCTGTTCAAGCCCAATTTCAAAATCTTCCTGTTTAAATTTTTGTTCTGTTTCTCTCTGCCCACGACTGATGGTGTCAATGCGTTAAATATGTCCACTGGTTCTGAACAGAGCCTTGAGACGCGGTCCTGTCGATAGTATACGTAACGTTTGTGGGTGTGTATATACAATGCACACTGTATTGCATTGTATCTAGTTGTTAGTTTGTTGTCCTTGCCACACAACTCCCATTAGCACGGTGGGCTATGCACGGTACGAAAGAAGTTCAACATACACACGTGCATACGTACACGGACAAGCAAAATTGACCCGTGGACTCCCACGGAGACCCACAGTCCGGGCTCAAGACGTTCCCTTTAAACCACCGTCTATGATTGTCTGCCTCTCTTGTATAGAGTAAGCGGCGTGACCCGCCCAAGCCCACTTACCCTGCTTCACAGTCAATGTGAAGTCTCTCTCTCTCTGACTTGCGCCTGTGTTTCATATGATCCAATCGCTCCTCTCTCCGCCAGCGTGCATCTCCCCCATCCCCCTCTTCACTCCACACACCGAAGTGACCACTCGCCCGGGAACGACACGACATCGCGAAATTAAAATTAATAAAAAAATTAAAACAATAAAATCACGACGTTTTTTTTTGCTGTGACAGTTTCACCTGAAGACGGAGGCTTGTGTTGCCTCCGGAACGTCGTGATTTTATTGTTTTTATTTTTTATTCATTTTAATTTCATTTTTTACCGACGTGACTTTACGGAAAGAACTAAGAGTATGAATCATTGCAGTCACGAAAACTTCAAATCTAGAATCGCTCGATATCCGTGTTAAACAAACGAATCGGCGATGCTGATGCTGCTGTTGCTGCTGTTGCTGCTGCTACTGGCTGCTGCAGTTGCAGCAGTGCCCAAGCACAACTACCAATGGAACCCAACACATTCGTCAATAACATCGTTGGCCTAACGGAACAAGTACACCCGAGACGACGTCTTGAGCAATGGCCCTTCTTCGTTGCACGTACAGAGAGGCCAGAGAGTAAGAGTAATATCCAGGGATTAATTGCAGCCGGGTCTGTCTCAGTCGACAACCCAGAAGATGTGTCTGTACACAAAACATCACATTCAGCAAACATCACCCTATGAGCCGTGGCTACTAATAGTCACGCACCACCTACTCCAGTCTAGCAGCGACTCGGAAAATGCTTCTGTACTCGGCCCACCACATCCAGTATACATCTCCTTGTGGGGCTGTGCCTTCTAAGTCACGTGTAACCCAGCGCAAGTCCAACAGTGACTTGGGGAAAATATTCGGAGGAAAAAAAAAACAAAAAAACAGGACCCCTGGTACACAATCGCGAAGGGCTCGCCGCTCCGTGGGGGAGACGGAAGCAACTGCGGATAATGAGACGTCGCGGCGTTTGGCGAGGAGCACAGGAGGGGCGTGTGGGCGTGCGCACGTGCGCGCGAGGAGCTGGCGCCGCTAACGTGAGGCTCGGAATGAATGGACGCACATTACGGAACGACCTGGCGCTGTCATGGCGGGTAAAGCGTGACCGCGTCATCTTGAGCGGCCTGCGCAAATGTGGGAGGAGAAACAACCGTCGGCTCGAGAGCTTGAGGTGTGGCGTCGCTTTCCGACTCGGGTTGAAAGCGTCAACGCACTGTGAAGCAGACGCAGAGTGTGTATTTGTACGGTCGATACGCACGGCAGGATTAACCAGGGCGGCTTGCCGGATTCGAACCGCGAACCCTCTTCAACAAGCGGCGAACGTGCTACCGCTAGTGCTGCGTCACCAACCAGGGGCGCCAAGGTAGCGAGATGTTAACTACCTCGCCTGCTATACAGGAGGTCGTGGGTTCGATCTCGACCCTGATGATGCCTGCTGTATATTTTGAGTTTGCGTCTCGCTCTCATCATCATCACGGTGGCTAGGAGATGTTAACTACCTCGCCTGCTATACAGGAAGTCGTGGGTTCAATCCCAACCCACATTTAGAATCAACACGCGTTCAGAGTATTGGCTGCTATACATTCACACATGATCAGCCACTTGGTTGAGCTACCATTTGTGGCCAGGTTGCTTCTGAAAAAAAGATCCGGATAGCTCAGTGGGCCTTACCTGGTAAAATAAAAATAGTGCTTTTGAAATTCAGATCGCTCCTCTTGCAAAACGAGACCCCCATCCTGGGTCCCTTGAGTCCTCCCCTCGTTAAACACACTCAACTCGAAACTCGAAACGCAATGCATTGGACGCCATCGAGCTCACTCGGTAGAGTCGCTGGAAAGAGTTTAAAAAAACAATGGGACGTGCGCCGCATTTCGGCATCACCGGGAGAAAGCTCGCGCGAGCGGCAACGGCGCAGCGGCACCAGTTGCGAGCACTTAATCTGGACGGACAAATCTGCAGCTCACGGTCCTCTGCTCCGGCCACGGCTCACAGAGTGGGGAGGTGGGATGGGGGGGAGGGGATGCCCCCCAGGCAGCGGAGACGCAAGCGGGCGACACAAGCGCGCGATGCAAGAGGCGATGCAAGCGGGAGACGCAAGCGGGATACACATGGCCACCACGGTGCCGCGTGGACGATCATGCGGCAAGGGCCGGTTCGTGCGATGATGAGCGGAGTGAAGAGTACAGCGGAGCAAGCAGTGCGGCCAACACCAGTGGCAATTATCTGAACCGGTCCGGGCCTTCCCTAGGTCGACTCAGCCTCAAATAAGTACCTGGCGGGGTGTGTGGACATCGCCACTGGGGAGACAAAGGCGGTCGAGTGTGGTTCTGGCCACCCACCCCCTCGTGTGCCGTGCCGGCCTTCATAGGTGCACACAAAAAGGCCTTACCCCAACAGTTCTGTTAAGGCTATATAGAGGATCTTTGTTTTTGTTTTTGTGTGTATGCACACACACATAGTTTTTCTCCAAATTTTCGTGGCATTTGAGTTGCAGGTGAAGTTGTCACCAGCCCCCTGCACACTTCCAGAGCCCCAGTTGGCCACTGTGGTGGCTGTGGGCAGTGCTATGAGGGTTGCACCCAATCAGTAACGAACGCCCAGCAATGGCACTGCTCACAACCACCACAGCGTTACCGACCGGCAAGCATCACCACCACCACAGCGTTACCAACCGGCAGCGCCATGGTAATGCCACCGCCTCTTATTGGTGACTGGCAGCTATAGGTGTTATACACACATACAAAGGTGTCCTATGTATCCTCAACAGACTGTTTGGGGCAAGTGCTGTTAGCGGGTACCTATGAAGACCGGCACAGCACACGAGGTGGTGGGTTGCCAGCACCACACCCGGCCGCCTTTGTCTCTCCAGTGTCAATGTTTACACAACGCACCAGGCACTCAGTTGAGTCGACCTAGGGGAGGCCCAGGAAGAAATGGTTCAGGTAATCGTCACTGGCGTTGACCTTGAGCGGGAATCGAACTCGGGACGATTATATTTACGCACCGCACCAGACGTAAGCCTCGCGCGTCGACCTAAGGACGGTTTCAAATATTCGGGTCGCCGTGGTTTTAAGCGCAGTGTGCTAACCACCGTGCCACCGCTCCCCACGCACGCACACAAACACGCACGCTCGCGGTACCCACACGTTGGAGACACGCGGCTGTTCAAGAGACAGACAAAATAAATAGAAGCACGCAGGTTCCCTGCAGGAAACGAACTGGGCAAAGCCGGAGGAATAACTTTCTTTAATTCTCACCTCGCTGTGCAGGAGATGTGTGTTGGGAGTTAGCAGATCAAATCCCGTCACATCCTCCACCACCACTGGGACCTGTGAGAGATAATAAATGGCACCCTCTTCACCGCCGCGTGGATATTGCTTTTCCCCTGCCTTTCCTCGCTCACTTGACGCCCTCGTTCCCCCCGCCCGTGCCAAGGAACGTGTGCTTCCCGTATCAACATGTTGAACTTCTTTCGCACCATACGTAGCCAGCCGTGCTAATCGGAGGTGCGGGGGGAAGGACAACAAACTAAACACAAAAAGCAATTCTAAAGAAATTCGTTTTCAAGCTAGACTTAAAAGTGCATAGCGTCCAGTGGCTTCTTAATATCGAAAGGAAGAGCGTTCCAGACGGCCGCAGAAGCGCATGTGAAAGCACGCGATGTGATGACCACCGTCTTTGTGCTTTGGATGGGCGACTACCGTGCGTAATGAAATGGATACCCCCTCGATCTAATGCCTCCCTCTCTTCCAATGCCTCGCTCTCTGATGCCTCCCTCTCTTCGTAGTCTGGGTCCCTCCCCCGCACCCCCTCCTGACCGTGAACCCCGAGGCAGCTGCACGGCCCGTTAGTTATTGAACTTAAACGTTATTCATATTTCATTGCGGCAAAGAAACAGAAGACCATTCCGTCCGCCCGCCCACACCCCACCACCTCGTTTCACCTCTGGCTGCATCTCTCCTCTCTCTCTCTCAAACCCCCCGCCCCCCGCCCCCCACACACGGCGCGAGAGAGCGGCGAGCGTGAATGTGCGGAAAAACAAAGACGTCCAACTCACGCGGTCAGTGATGAAGTCCTGGGGCCTCTTCCAAGCGTGCACCTTCAGCGAGGGGGGCAGCTCGATCTTGCCCTCGGGGTCCTCAAAGAAATTCTGCGAGACGGGACAACGTGGGAACTCAGGGGCCACCCGCCGCATCCAATGGGCGCTCAACACGTTAGGTGTCGGGTCGTGCTTCATTCTGGACCGGGGGTCGACAAAACCTGCGGCTTCGGAGGCGGCTCTTAGAAGGACTGCTTCGTTATGTTATTCACATGCAGTGCAACGTTTTTTTTTTCACCGAATTCCAAAACAAAAATGGCTCTTCTTGTTATTTTGCTTCGCCGACCCCTGTTCTGGAAGCTGCCGGGGGCCTCGCAATGAGCTCCCGATCAGCACGGTTGGCTACAAACGATGCGAAACAATGTCAACATACACGCATACGTATATTCCAGAGGTCAACGGTTCGTTCGATTCCAACTCCCGGTGCGGCAGATCACCACAATGGGACATGTTTCTACGTCTGTCCACTCAGCCGTGTAAATGGGTTTAGCACAGTTAGTCGATCGGCAGGCACGTGCTACGGTGGGGTAAAGAGGTGGTTACACCCACCTCTTGCCACGACGTCTTTCAAAGCATGAAAAAGCAGGCCAAATACACACTGTGATGGGGGGTGGGGGGGGGGCTCTGCTGGACATCACCTGGGGGGGTTGTGCCTTCACCTTCGCGGGGATCTTCGACGACGACGGAAGTCGGACGGGAGCCGCGCAGTCGCGTCGTTTGTCGCTTTTTGTCTCTTTAACCTTTGAACGCCGCGACGCGACGCTCCACGTCGCCGCAGCTCATTGAGCGAGCAAGCTACGCGCCCTTCCGCCCGGGAACGGCCGCCGCGTCCGAGACTATGAAATTAACAATATAGATTTAACTTGAGCAAATTCATTACCGCCTGGTAATAAATTACCGGCGTGGCGATGAACGAGCGGTGGGGTGGGGAGGTTTGGAGTGGGGGACGGAATGATCTTCTGTTTCTTTTGCCGCAGTGAAATATAAATGACGTTAAAGTTCACCAACTAATTGGCCTTCTGGACAGAAAATATTAGCCGTGATAATAATAAACAACAATTTTCAGGAGGCTGCCGTTACGTTGCGATGTTTGGCTCTGAATTCGGTTATGCATGAATCAATGAGAGTTTGTCTCTGTCTTGTAGGAGGAAACGGGAGAAACCCAGGAGACCCTCAGCACCACCACATCCTGGCCACGACCTCGCAGCAGCCACGCGCCTACAACACCAAGTAAGCCCCTGGTGGTGGTCGGCTGTCAGTACGAACCAGGCTAAAATCCGGCTTAGCGTCCCAGAGGCCATGAATGTAAGGGGATAATGCAAGGGAAACCCTGGACAAAACCCTGCTGATAAGACTCAAGGACGATGAAAGTATTCCAGCATTTTCTTCAAAATGCAGCTGAAAAACTTTTGTCGTGAAGGTTCATAGGTTAATGGACCTAAATATAATTTTATTTGGATTGAGGGTTATCATAATAGTGCATAAATTAGCACAAAAGGTTCAAATTCATATTAAGCAAATAATCATTCGACAAGAGCCCGTGTAATCGACTACAAACAAAGTAGTCAATGACAATTTATCAATTAGTTAATCCACGCAATCGACTCATCGCCCCAGCTAGTTAAAATGAGCTACGGTTCACATTGACGGACAGACGGATGGACGGACAGACAGATGTATGGACAGTCGGACAGATAGGCTGACAAACACATGAATTGACGAATGGATGGACAGCATAGATGGACAGACAGATGGAAGGACAGATGGACGGACGGACGGACGCACGGACGGACAAATGAACGGATGGACAGACAATTGAATGGATGGACGGACACACAGACGGACTGAACAGACGAAATGTACGGACGCACGCACGGACGCACGGACAGACGCACGAATGGACGGACAGACGGACAGACGGACGGGAGTGCCGCACCAGGCTGGGACTCCTGCCCTTCTCCTTCCCGCCCCCAGCGCGCGGTCCATCCCACTTCTCCGCGTTGACCTCCGCGTCGCTCCACTCTGGCCAGGGCGGGAACCGTCCCGCTCGCCCCTCCACCGCACCCCCGGCGGCGCCGGTGCCACCTTGGGACGTCGACCTGCGGCAACATCATCGTCACCATCATCAATCGTGATGTAGCCACTGCCGCCGGATGAAGGCCTCCCCAGAGCCGTCGCCATCTCCGCAATCCGACGAGCTCGTACACGTAACTTTAAATCATCGGTACATCTCCGCGGAGGACGTGCTCTCGGATGCCGCTCCATCGACAAAGAGAGCAATGGATTTAGAAAAAAAGAGACACACTTCCATAGAGACTCACAGACTTATGTAGAGAGCCATAGGTGACCTTCATTAATGGGCAAACGGAAGCCCATGAGACCAAAAGTCTCGACCTTGCTGCAGACCTGGGCTTTATGTGGACTTAAACAGAGATCCGTAGACTAAATAGGGTGTCACAGGCTTACACAAACTCACACGCTTACTGAGATACTCACAGACTTACACAGGTCCCCATAGACTAACAAAGAGACCCACAGACGTACATGCGCAGCCACAGACTCGCGTATATTCACAAACTTACAAAGATGTTCAGACTTACGCAGACACCCATGGAATTACACAGCGGCAAACAGATTTACAGACCCAGAAGTCTTGCACAGGGAAACCCCAAAGACTGAGATGACCTTCATTCACGAGCAGGCGAGAGCCCATCGAGACCACAGCTCTCACGGTAGGTAAAGGTGCAGCCCTGAAATGCCGCGCTCACGCCACCGCTGGCAAAAACGGCATCAGCTAGAGAGAGCTCCGGACAGCCTTTATAGAGGGTGATTTGGCCTACTCCTCCACAATGTAGCCTGCTGATCGCCTGATCCTGGCATACCCATTAATATTGCTCGGTGGACAGAGACAGAGTGGGGGGGGGGGGGGGGGGCGTAGGAGGTGGATTTACGAATCGCACCGTTGACCTGGGCTTAAAGAAACATTGCACGGCAATGTGGCGGCGCTTGCTGACGGGTTCCAGGTATCCGCGCTCTCCGTTTGCCAACTCGTTGCTGCTGGATCGATCCGTTCACCCCATTGGGTAATTGCCTCCCGTCACGCTCTTTCCCTTCCTATCTCTCTCTTTTTTTCCTTCTGTCTCGCTCTCGTTCTCTCCCTCTCTCTCCCGCGCGTCTTCATAATTCCATTCCCACTGCTCTTCTGTTTGTTCCCTAGATCGCAATTCGGGGCCGCCAGGCGGTTTCGTCCGTCCATTCCGATTATGCCAATGTCCTTCGTCCTCGTCACAACTCACTTTCACACTCAGCAGGGGTAGGAGGAGGCTTTCGCGACCATTCTTATTCACAGGTAAAGGTTATTTTTTTGGGTTAGATCGCGTAAATATAACAACAACAAAGTTCCCCCGTACAGCCTTAACATATTGTTGGGGCAAGTGCTGTTATCGAGTAGCACCTATAAAGGCCGGCAGGGCACGCGAGCGGGTCGGTTGCCAGCATCACGTCCGACCGCCTTTGTCTCCCCAGTGGCGATGTTTACACACCGCACCAGGTGCTCATTCGAGGCTGAGTCAATCTAGCGGAGGCCCAGGACCGGTTCAAAAAATCATCACCGGTGTTGGCCATGAGCGGGAATCGAACTCGGGTCGCCGGGTTCGTAGCGCAGCGCGCTAACCGCCACCCTACCGCTCCCGTAAATATAAACGTGTCGTGAAACCCGCCACCACCCAATACATCCAAAGCATAAGGTTTGTGGCTACAACTGCATATTTTTTTATTAAATTTTTTAAACAACATGTATGGCGAACAGCGGCAGCAGAATTTTGTAGGCACGACGCTGGGCACGCGGGAGCAGGGAGCGCACGGCAGCTCAAGGCGTTGAACCCAGCCGCACGGCCAGTTGCTTTCCTCTGCGTTCAGCATCGGCGGCGGAGACGGAGGCTCGAGAGGCGAGCGACCTTTTCGGTGCCTCCATCGAAGCGTGCGGTGCACGGGAGGGGATGAGGGGCCACGTGGCAGGCGCTCGCTCCAACGTTTCTGCCGGGAAGGCGGCGCATAGACAACAAAGACGCCCCCCCCCACCCCCCCCCCCACGTCTATACCGTCCGTCGGTAACACGGTGCAGTCTTAAAAAGGAATTGTAAACATAATAGGCCCGTCCCGATAGCTAGCACATGACGATACAGAAAGGGACCATGACCAAAAACGCCACCTATCACATATATGTAATTCTTTTTGATATGCAAATTCCTTTGTCAAGGCGCCCTTCCCCCTCTAACCCAGCTTAAATATACGCTGCCAAGCCTGGTGGTGCTCATTCAGATGCTGTCTTTCCGACAGACCTGTTCTTCACCTGAGGACGGCTGCCTGCGTTGTGGCCGAAACGTCGTGAGAATTGTCTTTTATTATGTTTAATTTTTATCATTTTATTATTTCCCTTCGACGTGACTTTACCGAATGAACCAAAAAGATATATGTAATTCGTTTTACGGCCAGAGCGTTGTTATTTGCAATGGCGTTGAGTTGTTTTTTTCTTCATTGTGCACCCCCGCCACCGTAGCAGCTGCATCAATTAATTGGTTTCCTCCGAAGCGATATTTTATTCAACAGAGGCAGATGCTCGGCACTCCTGAGAGAATTGCTCTCAGTAGCCGAGCGGGTGGGAAAGTGCCGCCCTCAGCTGCGCGTGGACAAGAGGTGACTTAACACGTAGGAGGCTTTCGTGACCAATATCATCCACAATACACCTTGTTTTTTTGGGTTAGATCTCGTAACTATATAAATGTGTCGTTAAACCCGCCGCCATCCGACGCAGCCACTTAGTAAGGTTTGTCACGTGAACAGAACGTGGCCAATTCGTTACTAGTACAGCACTAATGTATAGTGTGTAGTGTATAGTGTAGTGTATAGTGTATAATATAGTGTATAGTGTAGTACACTAGTACAGCACACCGGTGTGTTGGAGAGCAAAGCCACAACATTTACAATCGGAGTACGACGTTTCGCCATCAGACATCCGGTAACGAATTGGCATGTTCTGCGTACGTGACAAACCATACTAATTGGCTGTGTCGGGTGGTGGCGGGTTTAATGACACATTGATATATTTACGCGATCTAACCCAAAAAACGTGTATTATGGAAGAGGTGACTTGAAGGCATGTCAGAGGTACCTCTGTGATATCCGCTTCCGTGGACGCGTTCTCTAACACGAAGAGCCAGTGAGCTGGTCTGCGGGAGATCTGAACTGATTCTTTGCCTCATTACGACCAGACGCTGATCCCACAATCGGGGATACAATTGGGGGAAATATCTTCTTCTTTTTTCAAACGTACAAACATGAGAAAGGATGCGGTCGCACTGGGACATTCTATACATCCGAATTTTCTCTCATTCCATATCTCCCCCACAGAGCGGTGAGGCACAGCATGCCAGCGAAAGGCCGGGACGGGTCAACCCTTCACAGAATCACACAGTGTCCTCAAGGCACTTGGAGCAGCCCTTTCGTGCTCACTATGGGGCCACGACGTTACGATGACCCGATTCAAAAATCAGTCACCCTGTTCTCCTAAATAATAATCATGACGATGTACTCATAGCTCTCCCATGCGTGTGTTGGGTTGTACCGCTACGGGATGTTTGGCTCGATGTCTGACGTTTTACTGCAACGTGCTGGTAGGCTTCTTCAGCGCATGGCTCGACATGTCAGGCATCGTGATGAACAATGGGTCTCTGTGCGAGTCTACGGGTATCTTTGTGAGTCTCTGGATCTTGTGTGTAAATCGATGGGTCTCTGTGCGAGTCGATGGGTCTCTGTGCGAGTCGATGGGTCTCTGTGTGAGTCTATGGGTCTCTGTGCGAGTCAATGAGTCTCTGTGTGAGTCTATGGTTATCTGTGCGAGTCTATGGGTCTGTGTGAGTCTATGGGTTTATCTGTGAGTCTATGGGTCTCTCTGTGAGTCGATGGGTCTCTGTGCGAGTCGATGGGTCTCTGTGCGAGTCGATGGGTCTCTATGCGAGTCTACGGGTCTCTATGTGAGTCTCTGGATCTTGTGTGTAAGTCGATGGGTCTCTGTGTGAATCGATGGATCTCTGTGCGAGTCGATGGGTCTCTGTGCGAGTCCATGGGGCTCGATGGAAGTCTGCAGGGCTCTTGTCAGTCCCGTGATAGCATTAAAAATAATAACAATAACGCACCACCGCTCCAGACGATACGTTCACACGTGGGTCCTCCCCCCTTCCACGATGACAAGATATTCCTGATCTTCTTCTTCGCAAAGAGATGCCCCAGATTTTTTGTTGTCGTAGCGGTAGAGCGAGCGGCTCGCAATCGGAAGGCCGCCAAGTTCAAGTCCCGTTGACTCAGCCCATCATCCCCTCCGGGTCCGATAAAATAGGTACCACCTTGTGGGGAAATCCACAGGAGTGTTGTCTTAGGAATGTGGAATTTCACACCACCATCTCGGGTCTGTAAAAGGAGATGAGCAGGAGATCACTCTGCCTTAGCGGAAGGTGGCAACACAGGCTGCATCGGAATATCGCTTCTCAAGGTCACGATCAAAACACCCACTCGTTCGACCTCACGGCACTCGCAGACTCGCAAAGCCAACCTTCATTTCCTAGGCTGCTCCTGCTGCCAATAGTTTCGTTGTTTTGTTGTTGCTGCAGACCTAAGCGTACGTGACAATGCAATCTCATTTTAAACTCTTTGAAAGAATATTGCCGCGACCACGGTTGATGCTGAGGGTCGGAGGGGGGAGTTGTATCTGATTCTGATTCTGTTCGGGGTCACCGGTAAGAGCCGGAAGCTGCCGAGGGCTCAAAGCTTGAAACCTGGGGCCACATTCAGCGGGAATCTTTGCTCCCCGTGCCCCCTGCTCGGCTGAACCCTGAGAAGAGTTTGCTTCGGCTACGAGTGAATCGATGCTGCTGCTGATGACGAGGACGATGATGATGATGCCGCTGATGATGCTGCTGCCTGTTCGTGTCAGCCAGGTCATGAATCGTGGAGGTAACGAAACCTACAGCATGTTGGTAGCAAATTAGCCATGTGGCCTAAAAAACAATGTGCTTAATCAGTGTGCACTGCCTGCTATGACGCG